CGGATTTCTGTAGAAAATTAAAGACTGAATAGTTTCAAATGTTATAAAGTATGTTTGTGCATGAAATCTGAATCAGTTGTGCTTTTCTCCAGCATCCAGTTTAACACAGACGTCGCAATACAGAGGTCACTGTTCACAAAACAGCCTGTAGTGTGTGTGAGTGTGTGGCAAGGTGTTTCTGCGCAGTGTACCAGGGGCACGGAGAAAGGTTGTCGTACCATAGGCACGAGGAGTGTGTGTGTGTGTGTGTGTGTGTAACTAAAGCTCGATGACATCATCAACCACTACGCTTAACCTTTATCTAAAAAAGATACAAGTTACTGAAATTCAAAGAAGCATTTCAGGCGTCACTTCAGGTGAGTTCAACACACCCAGATGTTCGGTGGCTAATCTACGCATCACTTCCACTTTCCCATGCTGTCAAGCTGATTGTGACATCACTGGTCTGGTCCAATCATCTTTCAGGCCGATCAACCTTTACACGTACTTTAAATCTCAGAGCACATCTGTCATTTCACTTGCAGATGCCTTTGTGCAACCTGCCTCCTCCATCCAAGCATCTTCATCTCCACCACCAGCGTCCCGGCACTAATCCCGATCCCCGCCGGGATTCAACGCCATCAGAGTCTAACCGACAAATATCTCAAAATGAATTCTGTACTTCAATAAATCATATTCGCTTTCTTCTAATGATCTATTTATTGATGTGCTGTGTAACCACCTACGTGGGTCAGCTGGACACATCCTGGAGAGCAACTTCGAATCACCACACGCATGTCTTTAGACTGGGAAGGACCCACAGACACAGCAGAACATATGAAGTCCATCCAGAAACACCTCAGACTGGATTCATGAGCTTGGCAGCGTGGGTGGAGGTGATGTAAAGCTTATATGAACCACCAAACATCTGGGAAGCAGACAGATGTGCGACTCCAGACTCTCCTCAAAGAACTTGCACATAAGCGTCATCACATTTATTTATACAGCAGCTTTATCAGAACCAGGATTACAGAGTTTCATACTCGAAATCATTTTAATATCAGATTCGATTTTCAGTTTAAAAACTAGACCTTGCAAAACTTAGTACAACATTTCCTCCTGCACAGGAAGTCATGTAAGCGGTGGCGGCTGCGGTCGGTATCTGGGTGGCGATTTAAGGCGACAGAAGACGCACTGCGTGAACAGCTCTGAGGTCAGCAGTCTGGACACTGGGAATGGCTTTCCACACTCTTCACACTGCAAACACACACAGTGTCATCGTCACAGACCACCTGCAGCTGTGGGGAGTCTAAAACATTTAAATCAGTTCGAGAAAAAAGGATCCATGAACGACTCAGACCTTCAGGATGTGAATTCCCGCTCCCTCCGCGTTCCTCTTCATGACCTCTGGGATATCTTCCATGTTCTCTATGTCCCACAGCCGAACAGTCCCGTCCTGCAGAGACAGACGCAGTGAAATTGTTGTCGTCGTCTAGCAGAGTTTCAAATTCAACCTTCAATATTTAAAAATGATATGTGCCCCAAAAACACCTTCATCTGAAGCCAAAAAAGCTGAACAGGAAATGAAGCAACAAACTGAGTGGAGAGCGTCCTCTGATCCTGACAGAGGGTTGAATTGCACTGAACTTCACAGCCATGAGCTGCAGTCACGAGGGTTCAAATGTGAACGGGAGATCTTTCCATCAGTCCCACATGGTGATGTGTTTTCTTCTTTGTGACAGATAGGAAGGAACTTTGACTCCACCCGTCCTGGGCCCATGATGCTGCTTACACCTGACCAGCTCAGAATACAAAACAAACACACCCTTTGTCTTCTTGCTCTGACGTCTTTCTGTGAAATGTGCCGGCATCAGAAAGTCTTCTGCATGATCTGTGTTGTTCTCAGATGACGCGCTTTGGTCCGTCTCTGCTAAATATCCGCGTGGACGTCAAACTCTGCTCTGATTGGGCTGCAAAAATACA